AAGATAATAGAGAAAACCAGTAAACCAAAAGCTGGTTCTCTGAGAAGATCAATAAAATCATTGCTATACCTGTAGACAGACTTATCAGGAAAAAAAGAGAGATGGCACAAATTACCAATATCAGGAATGAGAAAGGTAACTCACTACAGATTACACAAGCGTTAAAAGGACAATAAAGATTATACAAATATTTAAAGGATAATATTATGAGAACACTTTATGCCAAAAATTTGACAACTTAGATGAAAATAGACAAATTCGTTGAAAGACATAAATTACCAAACTACCAAAGCTCACTCAAGAATGAAGAGATAATCTGAATAGCTCTATAGCTATTAAAGAAATTGAATATGTGGTTAAAAATTTTACAACAAAAAAATTCCAAGTTCAGGGGCCCCACTGGTGAATCCAATCAAACATTTAAGAAAGAAATAATTCCAGTTCTATATAAACTCTACTAGAAAATTGAAAAGGAGAGACTATTTCCCAACTCATTCTATACGGTCAGCACTACCCAGGTATCAAAATTAGACAAAGACATTACAAGAAAAGTTCAGATCAATATCCCTCACAAACATAGATGCAAAAATTTTAAACAAAATTTTAGTAAATTGAATCCAACAATATATAAAAAAGGAAATACGACATGATCAAGTAGGATTTATCCTAGGAATGCAAAACTCATTTAATATTCAAAGTCAGTCTTTGAAACTACAAAACTATGATGAAAATAATCAAGGAAATCTAAGGAAATGAAGAGATATCCCATGGTCATGGATAGGAAGACTCAATGGTGTCAAGATGTCCGTTTTTCCCAACTTTGTCTATAGCGTCAAGACAATTAAAATCAAAATCCCAGCAAGTTATTCCGTGAATATTGAAAAACTGATTCTAAAGTTTATATGGAAAAGTAAAATATGCTGAACAGCCAACGAAATATTGAAGGAGATGGACAAAGTTGGAAGATGGAGACTATCTGACTTCAAGACTTACTACAAAGCTACTGTAATTGGGACAGTGTGGTACTGGCAAAAGAATAGACAAATACACCAACAGAACAGAAATAGATCCCATGAGTATAGTTAGCTAATGTTTTACAGAGGAGGAAAGGCAATTCAATGGAGAAGAAATAGTCTTTTCAACAAATGGTACTAGAACAACTGGACACTCAAATGCAAAAAAAAAAAATGGATCCAGACATAGACCTTATACTTTTCACAAAAATTAACTCAAAATGGGTCACAAAACTAAACGTAAAATACAAAACTATAATATTCCTAGCAGACAACTTAGGAGAAATCATACTTGACCTTAAATTTGGTGATAGGATTTTAGACAAAACACTAAAAACACAATCCATGAAAGAAAAAATTGACTAAGTTGGACTTCATAAAAATTAAAAATCACTCTGCAAAAGACGCTGTTAAGAGAATAAAAAGGTAAGTCACAGACTGGGGAAAAAAATCTTTACAAAACACATCTTCGATAATGCAAAGTTATCCAAAATATACAAAGAACTCTTAAAACTCAACAATAAGAAAACAAATAATGCAACTGAAAAATGGCAAATTGTCTAGACAGACACCTCACCAAAGAAGCTACACAGATGGCAAATAAGCATATGAAAATATCCTCCCTATCACATATCATTAGGGAATTGCAAATTAAAGCAATAATGAGATACTGCTACACTCCTGTTAGAATGGCTAAAATCCAGAACACTGGCAACGTCAAAAGCTGTCAAGGATGTGGAGCCACAGGAACTCTCATTTATTGCTGGTGGGGATGCAAAAGGTACAGCCACTTTGGAAGACAGTTTGCCAGCTTCTTACAAACTAAACATACTCTTACCATAGGATCCAGCAATCATGCTTTGTAGTGTTTATCCAAATGAGTTGAAAACTTGTGACCACACAAAAACCTGCGCATGAATATTTATAGCAGCTTTACCCATAATTGCTAAAACATGGAAACAACCAAGATGACCGTCAGTAGGCGAAGGGATAAATAAACTGTGGCACATCCAGATAATGGAATATTTTTAAGCAATAAAAAGAAATGAGCTATGAAGCCAAGAAAAGACATGGAGGAAACTTAAATGCACATTGCTAAGTGAAAAAAGCTAATCTGAAAAGGCTATATACTGCATGATTCCAACTATATAACATTCTGGAAAAGGCAAAACTATGGAGACAATAAAAAGATCAGTGGTTGCCAGCTGTTTTCGGGAGAGAGTAAAGATGACTAGGAGGAGCACAGGTAATTTTTAAAGCAGTGCATCTATTCTGTATGATATTGTAATGGTGGACACATGTCATTATACGTCTGTTAAAACCTCTAGAACGTGCAACACAAAGAATGAACCCTAATGTAAACTATAGACTTTAGTTAATAACAATATATCAATATTGATTCATCATTTGTAATAAATGTACCACACTAATGCAAGAAGTTAAAAATATGGGGAATTGGGAAGGAGTGGAGCACATGGGAACTCTCTGTACTTTCTGCTCAATTTTTCAGTAAACCTATAACTGCTCAAAAAAAGTCTATCAATGAAGAAGTAAAAAACTAAACTTAAAAAAAAGCAATCTTTGTGACTTTGGGTTAGGCAAAGATTTCTTTGTTATAACACCAAAAGTATGAACCATAAAAGAAAACACTGATAAATTGGACTTCATCATAATCAAAAACTTTTGTGCTATAAAAGTCATGAGGAAACCTTTGGGTTAATAGGTACATTCACTCTCTTGATCATTTCATGGGTGTACACATATGTTGAAACCTGTCTAATTCTATATTTAAATGTGTACAATTTATTGTACACATAAAGCTGTTTAAATTAAATTTTTTAAATGAATGACTGAAAGAGCTCCTTAATGCAGATGCCCGGGCTCACTTGTAGAACTCCTAATTCTGTAAGACTGAGAAAGAGGAATCTGCCTTTTAAACAGCATCCAGGTGATTCTAATGCACATTTGAAACACTGGCCTAAGATATGAGCAGCAGGATTTACAGTAACCCTGGTGTGAAGCTAACCTGAGGACTGGCCGGGAAAGCAGAATAGCCTGAGAGGTCTGGAAAGAGAACAGAGAAGCCTCTCTCAGTGGCAAGAGAGAAAATAACCCAGAAGTCTCTCCATCTGTAGGGTAAAGGGCATCAAGAAGAGTGGTGTTTTAGTGGCATAGAGGAATTTCATCTTCCTTTTACCGTTTGATGTTTGGTGTGTGTTACATTTTATTAAACTCCAAAGAGGGCAGAGCTATATTTCATGTTATTTCCAGCAGTTAGAGAGATGATACTATGTCAGTATGATTTATCTGTTTTTGATTTATCAGTTTTATCTGTCAACTTGGCTAGGTTACAGTACCCAGTTTTCTGGTCAAACACCAGTCTACATGTTGCTGTGAAGATACTTTTTTAGATGCAGTCAACATTGACATCAGTAGACTTTGAGGGAAGCAGATTACCCTCCATAATGTGGGTGGGCCTCATTAAATCAGTTGAAGGCTTAAGAGAAAAGACTTAGGTCCCCTGAAGAAAGAATGCTTCCTCCAGACTGCCCTCAGACTCTACACTGCAAAATCAATTATTTCCTGGGTCTCCAGTCTGCTGGCCTGCTCTGCAGATTTCAGACTTTCTAGTCCCAACAATTGAATGAGCCAATTTCTTAAAATAAAACTAATTCTCTCCCTCACTCCCCTCTCTCTCTAAACATGTGCATACACATGCACACACACACACACACACACTCTAATGGCTCTGTTTCTCTGGAGAACCCTAATATAGTCAGTAAAATGATAACATCCCATGAAACTAAGAGACCTTGTAAAAAGATGTACAAATTTGGATGTGATATACACATTTGAAGTCATGAATCACTCATATCATCCACATCCTTGTATCTTTACAGTACCTGGTACACATGTTCACAAGATAACTGAATGAATGTTTTTCTCCTCATGCACTTCTGTGGGGCTGCATGTGGTTGATTATCTCCTTTGCATCTTCTAATTTTGATCATACCTGTGCCAGGTAGACTTAACCAAGAAAGGACCCAGAAAAGACTCTACCACTGGCCCCTAACTGCACTTTACAGCACTGATCTTTAAAGATTGTCTCACAATTTTCTAAAAACAAATTCTTATCTTTGGTATTTCGGTCTGGCCATAAAAGCTCTTCTGTTTCTTCTCATGAAAGGACCTGCTTGCTTTCTTCTCCTTGAATTTTTATGAGTAATGACTTTGGCCGCTTGACAGTAGCCCTCATTCCGTTATCCACATGCATGGAGAGGGCAGGTGTTGCTGCTTCCTCCAAGCCACCTTAGTATCCTAGCTTTTTATTTGTACATATGCATTGGGATGGAAAGAAAGGTGTGTTCTCTAAGTCCCAAGTCATAATCTCCCCACATTCAACTCCAAACTGGACAAGAAACTCCTGATCCTAACTCGACTGTAGACCTTCTTTCATGAATGGCCCAGGAGACTAAAGCATTTGTACTTAGATGGGGAGGTCTCTGTGTTGGGGTCTCTGTTAAGCACAGAGCTGATGAAATTAAAGCTGGTCGTTAGCTGGGTAACATTGTGTTCCATGAGAGGAATAAAGGAAGTCATTCAGCAATACAGAATGTCAGAGTGATGAAAGACCTTAAGGTTCATCTGACTGAGTCTCCTGGTTCATAGATAAAGAAACTGAGGTCCAGAAACATGGAGTGATTTCTCAAGGTTGGGTTTCCAATGCTGTCCTGAAGCCTTCCTTGACTTCGTTATCGGAGGTCATTGTTTCTTCCTCTGGGATTCCCCATGCACTGCATGTACCTCCTTTTATCACTGTGTTTGACCTTCCTTCATTAGACTGTGAGATTTGGGAGAATTGGGTTCATGTCTACATTCTGGGGCCTGATATAGAGGCTAACCCATAGTAGATGCTCCATAGATGTTGTGTAAGGACAGGAGAGAAGAAAGGAGAAGGAGGAGAAGAAGAAACGGTGGGTCCAAAGCTTAGTGATTTGATTTATCACCAGTAAACACGGTGGTAAGCAGCATCTGAGACCCCAAGCCTAGCAATAAGGGGTACTGCAGAACATGAGGCAGAGAACTTCTTTGGGCTCCCGAAATGGTATAGGCTTTCCCCTCCTTTTGCGTCTCTTCCCGGATCCATGGAACAAATTGAGCCACAGACACAAACATCCCAGGCCTCCCCCTGAAGCCGGATCTTATGCCCCAGCTGAAGACACCCACTTGGAAGAGCCTCTGGGTTCCATGCATAGTACAGATCAGAGGTGCCCCACCGTCTCCCTGAGGAGAGAAGGAAGAGTTTGCAAGCAATCAACAGCACCTCTAGCAAGACAGCAGGGTGAGAGGGTCCTAGTGGTGTGGGCTAGGGGCTTCCCTTCTGGGCGCTCTCCTGAGAGCCTAGAAAGTGGTGGGGCATGTGGAGGACAGGGCTGAGGCAGGGGCTGAGTACCTGGGAAGTGCCTTGGGTGCCTGGTTCCTTCCAGGCACAAAGCATGTTGCTGGAGAGCTGGTCTACCCTCTTGCTGCATTCTCTCCGGTTAAGCTGCACCAATCTCAGCTTCTGCAGGTACGTGTTTAAGTTGTCATATTCATCTGGCAAATGAGGAAGCTAGTGTGAGAATGAGCACTGCATCAACCACTGAGAGCGACAAGCCCACAAATGATCAGGGTGGAAGCCCTGGAAGGATGCAAACACTCAGCAAATCACAAACTCACAGGATAGGAAGGTCTTAGAGGGGACCTAATGCAATGCCCCGCTCAGTCTCCTCTCCAGTATCTCCAGCAAGGGGTTCCTTCATCTCTGCTTATGTGTTCCCTTTGGGGAGCTCACTCCCTCTGAAAGCAGCCTGTGAAACCCTTAGACCCAGCCCCTGCAGTGAACCTGGAATGAGCTTTCTCCAGGGCCCCACCATCTCTCCACAGCCATGCTTTGTCCCTGTGCAGAGGTTCAAAACAGCCCAACTTCTGAATCAGTGTTGCCCAGTGTCTCTGCCGGGTGAGTGGAGAAATCAGGAAAATGACACACCTATAAGTACCATCTTGTGGGAGGGAAACAACCATGATCCTAGAGGAGCTTCTGGTCTTCTCCCCATCCCCCTTCCACCCACCCTGAAGTCCTCTCTGTCTGGCTAGCCTGGTGCCCTGGGAAAAGAGTGGAGTCATTGACGACCAGGCTTGGGTGGGGAATCACTGGCTCAGAGTTATCTCAGCATGGTGGTCTACATGGGCTTCATCAGATGATAAACAGATGAGGAGATGCACATTGTAAAACAGCCCAGGAAGGAAGAATCCAAACTGGCTCTCCACACCACTTCTGGGCTCTGAAATAATGATCACTCTCATGTTTTGAGATTCTTCTATGTTCCAGGCATTTGCTAGAGACCTTAGTTGTATAATTTCATTTAATTTAATCCACATAACTTATCTGAGAAGGACATTACTGTCATTCTACAGATGAGAAAAGGTGGAGGTGAGGAAGATGGGGGAGCTAGCTCAAGATCACAAAGTTGGAGTTCTGAGGCCAAAATTGAGACCTGAGTCTTCCAAGGTTTATGCTGTCTAGCCCAGGGAAACTTAAGTCTGGGCTTTCTACAGGTTCCAAAGAGAAGGCACATACCATACGCATCAGTCACCCACTCTGCCATCCAACACCGGTCCCAGATCCTCTCTTTCTCCTGCAGGCAGACGGGCATTTTGAAGTTAGTGAATTGTATTGGTGTGGCCAGCAGGAGCAGGGAGAGGTCGCTGTCAAGGTGGGACGGCTTATAGTCTTTGTGAATAATTATCTTCTGCACTCGCTTTCTTTCCAAGTGGACATCGCTGAATGTTCTGATCCCCATGACCACAGTGACATTTCCCAATGCCATTTCTAATCTAAAGAATGAAGACAATGACTTCAAACTATAATAATAGTTACACTGCATTTCACATTTGTAGACACATCTGTAAATGGTAGAGTTAATGACCGAATACTGAGAAGTCCAAAGCAGTGGGTGCGCAGTGACCTAGGGAGTGGCTAGAGACGGGAGTAGCAGGAGTCAGGGGTCCAAACTCAGGCAAATCTCTGAGATAGTGAACTGTCAGCCCAGGGGGACTTCCCTGACCTGAAGGAAGTAGACTGAATCCATCCAAGAGGATAGAAGGTAAGCTATTTGACAAAGGGAGTTTGGATGTCTTGCTGACCCCTGTTTCCTCAGCTCTTAGAATAGTGTATGGTAGGTGTTCAATGAGTATTTGTCCGAATGAACACAGTCTGTTGGCTGCATGGATGGCAGGCAGAAGAGAAGCCTTGTACTGACTTTCCAATACTGGATGCATAGCCGCAGCTAGTAGCCCATCTTTGGATATGGTTAACGAAGTAAAGAGAGAGGATGAAATCAGAGACTTTGTGGTACAAAGCCAACGGGAACATACTGGGTATTAAGCTCATGGCTTCACAAGCCTTGTGCACTAACCTATTAAGCTACCCAGCCCAGACAATACATTGAGGAGACATGACGTAAACTAAGATAATGCCTCAGAAACTTACAGGGTTCTTGGGAAGCAATGTGCAGCTGTTAGAACCCACCACCGATGTATGATTGAGCCTCCACAGAGGTGTTTCCGAGAGTTCTGGATACTCACTTGCCATGGGAACTCGCCTTCCTGAACCTCAAATAGTTCGTGAAATTGTAACGATGTTGAAGTTGAAAAGGCAGGTCTGTAGCCACACGGAGCTTTTTCTGAAAGAGAAAAGAAAGAGCCATTTGTACAAGAGAAGCACGTAGAAATCTTTCTTACCTGTATTCCCAGCATCTTCCCAGCTAAGACCAGTGCTGGAGCTGAGTGGAGTAAAGTAAGCAGGCGCGAAGAGGACAGAGCTCAGAAAACACCAGCAAAACACACCTCCTTTAGTGTCCAGGCCTCACGTTCAAAAAGAGCTTTGAGACCTGGAGAAGTCAGGGTGGAGCTCCGTCAGAAGCTGTAAAAGGGTTGGGGTGGCAATGGAGATGTGCCAAAAATATACAGGGACCCTTCAGGAGACAGAAACCATGCAGCACTGGAAAGTTTAATACCAAGAATTATGAACTGTAACAGAGAAGTCACTACAAAGGGTCAGGAGGACCCCAAGGATACCACAGGGTTAAGGAATACCTAAGGAAGGACTAAACTTGAAAGGGGAGGCCCATCTCCAGGTGGAGGTTCAGAACTCACTGGGGAAGGTGTGGTTGCAGCCCAAGGGAAGGCAGAAGTTTGCTGGGTGCCCCGGGCCAGAGTTAGCCCCCATTTCTAGTTAAGCAGGGAACATCCCTCTGGAGTAGAGCTAGGCTGAGCTGGAACACCCTTCCTAGGTGCAGGTGGACTGATGGCTAGCGGGCAGGCACATGGAGGTGCTTAGGTGTCAAGAGCCTTCTCTCCAGCCAGTGGGTGCAAGGCCTGGGCTGTGCATGTATGTGTGGGGACAGCTGCAGTGAGGAGGTATGGGGGATCCAGGGCTTTGGGGGCCCATCAGAGAAAAAGATATGACCATGAGGTGGCAGTAGCACACCCAAGCTTTCTTTGAGTGGTGCTTTGACAGGTCTGCATGCTGGAGAAGGCTTTTGCAGCATGAGATCATCCAGAGGCTAAGGTCTGGGGGCCACCATGCAGAAGCAGAGGAGTACAAGGGAACTTCTAGGGGAAAAAGAGACCAGAGGGGGCCCTTACACGTCTAGGTGATGTTGCTCAGAAGCACAGTCAGAGAGCTCTGAGGGGCACCGGCAGCTTGGGGTCTCTATACCCACAGGGTTTTCTTCTATATGGCTAGCAGGTGTCGGGTGCAGTTTTGTGGTTATGCAAAGCAAGCAGGTTCTAAACAACTAAAACCTGCTTAGTTGGATTATGTTGAAAACAACTTGCTACGTTAAAAATTGAGTTTGGCCCCAGTGGGCTTTTGAGGTAATTGGGATCAGCCTGCTGTGAAGAAATAATCTAGGGGCCAATAGACAGGGGCCATCTTTGGGCCATTTGTATAACGGGAGGTCACTGAAGACAGGACAAGGCTCCAGCTCATAGAGGGACCCATGGCCAGAGCCAAGTGCCACTGGATGGCCCTTCCCTTGCTGGCAACCATGCTTATGAGCAAGGAGAAGCAAACAGAACCATGCCAGACAGAACCAGGAAGAAAAGCCCCTTCCTTCTGCAGTTTCCCTCCCACCCCTTCTCCTGAGGATGCTTTTGTTTTCTGGCTTTTTTGAGATATAATTGACATATAACATTGTGTAAGTTTAAGGTTTTGGTTTAATACTCATATATTGCAAAATGATTACCCCTATAGCATTAGCTAACACCTCTATCATATCCCACTGTACCATTTCTTTTTTTTTTTTTTTTTAAAGATTTTATTTTTCTCCTTTTTCTCCCCAAAGCCCCCCGGTACATAGTTGTATATTTCGTTGTGGGTCCTTCTAGTTGTGGCATGTGGGATGCTGCCTCAGCGTGGTCTGATGAGCAGTGCCATGTCCGCACCCAGGATTCGAACCAACGAAACACTGGGCCGCCTGCAGCGGAGCGCGCGAACTTAACCACTCGGCCACGGGGCCAGCCCCTGTACCATTTCTTTTTTATAGTGAGAACATTTAGGATTCACTCTCTTAGCAACTTTCAAGTATATAATGCAGTATTAGTAACTACCATCACCATGCTGTACTTTAGATCCCCAGAACTTATTCACACTCTGACTGGAAGTTTGTACCCTTTGACCAACATCTCCCCATTTCTCCTACCCCCAGCTCCTGGTAACCACCATTCTAGTCTCTGTTTCTATGAATTTGCCTTTTTCAGATTCCACATACAAGTGAGATCAGTGTTTGACTTTCTCTGTCTGACTTATTTCATTTGGCATAATGTCCTCATGGTCCATCCATGTTGTTGCAAGTGGCAGAATTTTCTTCTTTTTTATGGTTGATAATATTCCATTGTATATATGTATACCACATCTTCCTTATCCATTCACCCGTTCACAGACACTTAGGTTGTTTCCACGCCTGGACTATTGTGAATAATGCTGCAATGAACGTGAGAGGACAGATAGCTCTTTGAAATCCTGTCTTCATTTCTTTTGGATATATACTCAGAAATGGGATTGAGGGATCATATGGGAGTTCTATTTTTCACTTTTTTTTTAAATGCATGTAAATCTTTTTTTTTAAAGATTTTATTTTTTTCCTTTTTTTCTCCCCAAAGCCCCCTGGTACATAGTTGTATATTCTTCGTTGTGGGTCCTTCTAGTTGTGGCATGTGGGATGCTGCCTCAGCGTGGTCTGATGAGCAGTGCCATGTCCGCGCCCAGGATTCGAACCAACGAAACACTGGGCCGCCTGCAGCGGAGCGCGCAAACTTAACCACTCAGCCACGGGGCCAGCCCCTCTACTTTTCACTTTTTGAGGACACTCCATAGTGTTTTCTATAGCAACTGCACCAATTTACATTCCCACCAGTAAGTGGACAAGGGTTCCCTTTTCTTCACATCCTCACCAACACTTACTATCTCTTGTCTTTTTGTGATAGCCATTCTAACAAGTGTGAGATGATATCTCATTGTGGTTTGATTTGCATTTCCCTGATGATTAGTGATGTCGAGCACCTTTTCACGTACCTATTGGTCATTTGCATGTCTTCTTTGGAAAAATGTCTATTCAGTTTCTCTGCCTACTTTTTAATCAGATTGTTTGCTTTTTTGCTATTGAATTGCATGAGTTCTTTGTATATTTTGGATATTAACCCCTTTAATACATGGTTCGCAAATATTTTCTCCCATTCCGTAGGTTGCCTTTTCATTTTGTTGATTGTTTCTTTTTCTGTGCAGAAGCTTTTAGTTTGATGTAGTTGTCCCACTTTTTATTTTGATTCTGTTGCTTGTGTTTTTGGTGTCATATTAAAAAAATCATTGCCAAGACCCATGTCAAGGAGCTTTTCTCTATGTTTACTTCTAAAAGTTTTATGGTTTCAGTTCTTATGTTTAAGTCTTTCATCCATTTCAAGTTAATTTTTGTGAGTGATGTAAGATAGGGATCCAATTTCATTATTCTGCATGAGGTTATTCAGTTTTTCCCAAAACCATTTATTGAAGAGGCTATCCTTTCTCCAATGATTGTCCTTGCCTACCTTGTCAAATATTAGTTGACCTTATAAGTGAGAGTGTATTTCTGGGCTCTTAATTTGGTTTCATTGGTCTATATGTCCGATTTTATTCACTATAGCTGTGTAGCACAATTTGAAATCAGGAAATGTGGTACCTCAGCTTCATTCTTTTTCCTCAGGATTACTTTGTCTATTTGGGGGTTTTTGTGATTCCATACAAATTTTAGAATTGTTTTTTCTATTGCTGTGAAAAATGCCTTTTGAATTTTTATGAAGATTACATTGAATCTGTAGATGGCTTTGGGTAGTATGGACATTTTAACAATATTAGTTCTTCTGATCCATGAACATGGGGTGTCTTTCCATTTGTGTCTTCTTCAATCTCTTTCAGCAAAGTCTTGTAGTTTTGATTGTACAGATATTTCACTTCGTTGGTTAAGTTTGTTCCTAAGTATTTTATTATTTCTCATGCTATTGTGAATGGGATAGTTTTCTTTATTTTTTTTTTCAGATGTTTCATTGGTAAAGTATAGAAATTCAACTGATTTTTGTATCTTGATTTTGTATCTTGCAACTTTACTGACATCATTGATTAGTTCCAACACTTTTTTGGTTAAGTCCTTGGGATTTTCTATATACGGAATCGTATTATCTGTAAATAGCAACAATTTTACTTCTTACTTCCTAATTTGGATGACTTTTATGTCTTTGTCTTGTCTAATTGCTCCAGCTAGTCCTTATAGTACTATATCGAGTAAGAATGGTGAGAGTGGGCATCCATGTCTTGTTCCTGATCTTAGAGGAAAAGCTGTCAATTTTTTCCCATTGAGTATAATGTTAGCTGTTGGTTTGTCATATACCACCTTCATTATGTTGAGGTATGTTCCTTCTACACCCAACCTGCCAAGGGTTATTGTATTGTCTCAAATGCTTTTTCTGCATCTGTTGAGATGATCATGTGATTTCTATCTTTCATTTTATTAACGTAATGTGTTACATTTGTTGATTTGCATATGTTGAACAATCTTTGCATCTGAGGGATAAATCCTGCTTGATCACGGTGTAGGATCCTTTTACTGTGCTGTTGAATTCATTTTGCTAATATTGTTGAGAATTTTCGCATGTATGTTCATCAGGGAAATTGGTTTGTAGTTTTCTTTTCTTGAGGTATCCTCATCTGGATTTGGTATCAGAGTGATGCTGGCCTTGTACAATAAGTTTGAAAGTATTCCTTCTTCCTCAATTTTTTGGAAGAGCTTAAAAAGAAATTGTTTTACTTCTTTTTTGAATGTTTGGTAGAATTTGCCAGTGAAGCCGTCTGGTCCTAGGGTTTTCTGTGTTGGGAGGTTTTTGATTACTGATTCAGTCTTTTTACTCATTTATTGATCTGTTCAGATTTCTTATTTCTTCCTGATTCAGTCTTGGTAGGTTGTGTGTTTCTAGAAATTTAGCCATTTCTTCTAAGTTATTAGTTTGTTGCCATATAATTTTTCATAATAGTCTATTATGATCCTATGTACTGTAGTATCAGTTGTAATGTCTTCCTTCTCATCTCTAATTTTATTTATTTGAGTCATCTCTCTTTTTTCCTGTAGTTAGTCTAGCTAAAGGTTTGTCAATTTTGTTTCTATTTTCAAAGAACCGACTCTCAGTTTTATCGATCCTTTCTGTTGTTTTTCTGGTCTCAATTTTATTTATTCCCACTCTGATCTTTATTATTTCGTTCCTTCTGCTAACTCTTACTTCCCACTTTTATATTTTTGGTGTCGCAATTTACCTCTTTTTATGCTGCAATTTCCTTGAGAAGTTATAGTAGATATAGTTATTTTTAATGCTCTTTTACTTTAGTCTTTGTATTATAATTGGTGATTAACACACTATTCTAATATAGAGTTACAGTTTTCTAATTCTGATGGTTTATTTTTCACCTTTGCTAGAGTATTGTGTACTTTCATTTGCTTTTATGTCACTAATTAGCATCTTTTCATTTCAGCTGGAGGAAGTCCTTTCGGCATTTCCTGCAAGGCAGGGCTGGCGGTGGTGAGCTCTCTTGGCTTCTGTTTGTCTGGAAAAGCCTTTGTTTCTCCTTCATATCTGAAGCATAACTTGGCCAGATAAAGTAAACTTGGTAGGCAATTTTTATCTTTTAACACTGAATATGTCATTCCACTCTCTCCTGGCCCACAGAGTTTCTGCTGAGAAATCTGCTGATTGTCTAATGGAGGTTCCTTTGCAGCTTACTTCTTTAAAGAAAATTAATAGAGAGATATTTAGGAGCTCATCCTAAGGTCACATAGCAAGTACACAGAGGAAATGTAATTAGAATGCAGACAGTCTAATTTCAGAGCTTACCCTGTGCTACAGGTCTGATTGTGTTTATAATTTGGGGATGAAAAGCTCCGTTTAATATATCAAATAAAAGCCAAGAACCATAAGTAAAAACACTGCTGAATTTTGTACTTATATTTTAAATTTCTGTTTGGTCCAAAATAGAGTTGGAAGACTATTAAAGAATTAGGAGAAAAGATTTTGCAGCACACATAAGAGACAAGGGGCTAATGTCATTAAAATTCAAAAAGGTCCTGCAAATCAATTTACTACACCCACGCCAACAGGAAAAATGGGAAAACTAAAGGAACAGGTAATTCTCAAAAGAATAAATAGGAAATATTGCAAATAAGGCTGGGAGTGGGGGCAAAGTGTGGTCTTCTGGCCAGATACATTTCAGAAATACCGGGTTAAATAAAATTTAACTATTTTCTTTACTGTGAGATTTCTCAGCATCTTTAATAAATGGGTATCCACTGTGATGCTACAGAGAAAAGTATCAAATGGAATGTTTCCAAATTGGGTCTAACCAGAGAGCTTTTTTCTGTGCAGCTTCTAACGAGACAGAGGCTCTACAGAACATATTTTGAAAAATGCTGCATTAACTTGTTTGCTCCTACAATAGCCCTGTAACTTTTCCCACTTTATGAAATTACATAATCTAATACAGGTGGTCTAAATTAATAAGGATTAATGAGGTCCTTATGCCACCGCAACACTGCTGCTTTTTCCTGAGTGTGGGGCCCAGAAAGATGATTAATGCATTTACAAAGGTGAAGTGGAGACTGGAGAAGCAGAGGCAGCTGCTAAATTGTTGCCCCAACTCCCCTGTACTTCCAGAACTTGCCCCCTGTATTTCCAGAAGTCCGGGGCATGGCCGTGGGGGATCATTTTAAATGCATGCTCACTGGGCCCAATACGTCTACTTTGATTAAGCAGGTGTAATCTCCTCATTTCCTGAGTCATTTCCTCTAACGCAGCATCCTCTCAGGCCTCTAAATCAACTCAATAGGAGCCGGGTAAGAGGTTGCAGGGCTCTCCCCATCCTCTGCTCTGGATTAGCCTGGCACAGACCTGGATCTTCCTGGGCATGTCCCTTGAGCGCCATGAGCAGTGGAATTAGAAGCTGGAGCATCTTCTTATTCCAGTCCAGAATCGCCCAACCTGTGCCTGTAGCCAAAGCTGATAAAATGCCAGCTGCTGCTGCTTCAGTTGGGGCCATCACAAACGCATGGCAGAGCTGGTCGTGGGTGATGTCACAGTGAGCCTGGGGTTAGGGAGGAAACAGGGGATGCAGGGCAGCCTGGCTTAGCCAAGTCTGCATAGCTCGATCCTTCACTGTCTGTGTTCCCTCTGTAGTGGGGCCTAAAGGGACACCATGTTAGGCAAACTTTTGTCTGCACACTCTTCTCCCACCCTTGACTTGGAGCCTCTTGAGGAGCCATGTATTCTAGTATCTGCTTCAGCATTAAAGAGCTTTGGCTCTTTGTACAAATTTTCATAGTCTCTGGCACCAGATCTCAAAGCACGCCATGACTTGTTAGGAGATTAGGACTTTACTGTGAGGTTAATAGGGAGAGCAATGGAATGAAAGCAGGTCATGACCTCACATGTGCATTATAAGATTACTCTGAGTGTAATGTCGGGGAAGAAAACCTATTCCTCTACCCTCTAGGTTCTTCTGGCTGGTTTAAGAATTAAATTGGCATGAGACAGAATAACAGGAGAAAAATCAAACAAAATTTAATAACATGTATACATGGAAAAAACTAGGAAAACTGAGTAACTCAACAAAATGGTGGAAGCCATTACCTTAAACATCACCTTCAGCTAAGGACAAAGGAGGATGTTGGGGGTGGTGGGTTGGCACTTCAAAGGGGAGGAAGGCAATTCACAAGGAGATGGAAAAGCAAATGTTTGGTAAACAAATGTTGACTGTGCCTTGCAAAGACAATGCAAGATGGAGAGGACTCTGATTAAAAGGCCCTTGTTAGGTTCCTCCCTGTCTATCACACTTAGTTTACATTATACTTTAGTTATCTTATGGTATTAGCTCCTTCCTGGAACAGGAGTTCTATCTTGAATTCTTTTAGACAGTTAAGGGGAAGGTCAAAGTTTCTTTCAGAGTCTTTTTTTCTTGAAAAAAATCAAGCCAAAGAGACACATTTTGGGGTGGCAAATTCTGACCCCTCAAGGTAACATGGAGGTTATTTTAGAAAGGATGAAACTAGAAAAGAGAAAATCATTTAGGAAGTGGTTCCAATAATACAGATGAAAGATGGTGGTGGTCTAAAGTGGGAAAGAGGGTGTGTTAGTTTGCCAAAGCTTCCATAACAAAGCACCGCACACTGGGTGGCTTAAACAACAGAAATTTCCCAGTTCTGGAGGCTGGGAAGTCCAAGATCAAGGTGCCCACAGGGTTGGTTTCCTTCTGAGGGCCATGATGGAAGGCTCTGTTCCAGGCCTCTTCCCTTGGCTTGTAGATGGCCACCCTCTTGCTGTGTCTTCACATGACCATCTCTCTGTGCACACACACCCATGTTGTCTCCTTTTCTTCTCATAAGGACACCAGTTATACTGGATTAGGGCCCCACCCTGAGGGCCTCATTTTAACTTAATCACCTTTTTAAAGACCCTATCTCCAAACATAGTTACATTTTTGGTACTGGGGGTTGGGACTTCAAGATACGAATTTTAAGAGGGACATGATTCAGCCCATAAGAGTGGAATTACCGAGAACCGGAGATACTAAAGATAACTGAGAGATACTAAAGAGATTGAATATAGAGGTATTGTGATTGATGAGCTATACAGGATGAGCCAGCAGATACAAGCACAGATCTGAAAGTTTGGGGATAGAAGCATAAATTAGAAATCATCAGACTATTGTAGTCATGGGAATGGTTGAGATTGTCCACAGAGAACATGTGGAGAGAAAAGCAAAGAGGGCCTAGGACTGAGCTCAGAAGAACTTGGTCATAAAGAGGAAGCAGAGCTGGAAAAGGAGGCTGGCAATTTGCCAGAAGTGCTGGAGGAAATTCAAGAGGAGGTGCTGGTGTGGAAAATGGGACCAGAATGTTCCAAACAAGAGCAATGCCTCCTGATGCAGGATGAGCCCTCCATGTGTCCTCTGAATCTCTCCATCCTCTCACAGCCTCAGGAAACTGATCCTATCAATTACATACTCTCTCCCTCTTCATCCTCTTCTCTTCCGTATCTTTCTCATCAGCACATAAGGGTGTTTTAGTCATCCTCACCTTAAAACCTTCTAAATAAACATCAGCCCCAAAATGCCCTCCCTCTACTCTGACTTTGTAGCCACCACTTTATCGCCTCTCATTGACAACAGTCCTTGCTGTTCAAACAATGAATGTATGGAAGATTGAATGAATGAAGTTCCCACTGCCTGAAACAGCTGTTACCTATATGTAAAGGAAAAACTCCTGTTTTCCTCTATTCTCACAACACTTTTGATACTAGATGTGTGAGTTCTTCTACCCCAAACACGTCTCCAATTCTCAGTGGACATTGACTGTATGTCCTACAGTTTAACTAGTTCTGACACTAACCGCCTGGAGTTAGTGCAGACCCCACAGGCCAGAGGCTCAGACCCATAAGATTGCATCCACTACAGATGCCAATTGCAAGTCTAGGTTGTCACCTATACGTCTGACTAATTGGCTATATATCAGGGGTTCCCACAACCCCTTCCTCAAGTTTGATAATATGCTGGAACAGCTCACAGAACTCAGGAAAGTGCTTTATTTACTGTTACCAGTTTATTACAAAGAATACAACTCAGGAACAGCCAGATGGAAGAGATGCACAGGGCGAGGTATGGGGAAAGGGCATGGAACTTTCATGCCCTCTCTGGATGTGTCGCCCTCCCAGCATGTGCGTGTGTTCACCAACCCAGAAGCTCTCCACACCCCTTCCGTTAGTGTTTTTATGGAAGCTGCATTACATAGGCAAGATTGGCTAAATCATTGGCCACTGGCGATTAACTCAACCTCCAGTCCCTCTCCCCTCCCCAGAGATCAAGAGTGAGCTGAAAGTTCCAACCATCTGATCACGTGGTTGGTTTCCCTGGCAACTAGGCCCCCATGCTTTTTTATTTATTTATTTTTTAATTGCAGTAACATTGGATTATAACATTATATAGCTTTCAGATGTACATCGTAATATATTTTGAATTCTGTGTAGATTACATCATGTTCACCACCCAAAAACTAATTATAGTCCATCCGCTCACATGTGAGCCTAATCACCCCTTTTGCCCTCCCCTCTTCCTCCATGTAACCACCAATCCAATCTCCATTACTATGTGTTTGTTTGCTGTTTTTGTCTTCTACTTATGAGTGAGATCATACGGTATTTGACTTTCTCCCTCTGACTGATTTCACTCAGCATAATACCCTCAAGGACCATCCATGTTGTCACAAATGGCTGGATTTCATCATTTCTTATGGCTGAGTAGTATTCCATCATGTATATATACCACATCTTCTTTATCCATTCGTCCCTTGATGGGCACCTAGATTGCTTCCAAGTCTTGGCTATTGTGTATAATGCTGCAATGAACATAGGAGTGCATGTGTCTTTATGCATTTGTGTTTTCAAGTTCTTTGGATAAATACCCAGCAGTGGGATAGCTGGATCATATGGTAGATCTATTCTTAATTTTCTGAGGATACTCCATACTGCTTTCCATAGTGGCTGCTCCAGTTTGCACTCCCACCAGCAGTGTACGAGGGTTCCCTTCTCTCCACATCCTCTCCAACACTTGCTGTTTCCTGTCTTGTTAATTATAGCCATTCTGACCGGAGTGAGGTGATACCTCATTGTAGTTTTGATTTGCATTTCCCTGATAGCTAATGATGTTGAGCATCTTTTCATATGCCTGTTGGCCATCTGTATATCTTCTTTGGAGAAATCTCTGTTCAGATCTTTTGCCCATTTTTTAATTGGGCTGTTGGTTTTTTTGTTGTTGAGCTGTATGAGTTCTTTGTATATTTTGGATATTAACCCCTTATCTGATATACGGTATGCAAATATCTTCTCCCAATTGTTAGGTTGTCTTTTAGTTTTGTTGATGGTTTCCTTTGCTGTGCAGAAGATTTTTAGTTTGATGTAGTCCCATTTGTTCATTTTTTCTTTTGTTTCCCTTGCCTGGTCAGACATGGTACTTGAAAATATGCTGCTAAGACCAATGTCAAAGAGTGTACTGCCTATGTTTTCTTCTAGATGTTTCATGGTTTCGAGTCTTACATTCAAGTCTTTAATCCATTTTGAGTTGACTTTTGTGCATGGTGTTAGGTAATGGTCTACTTTCATTCTTTTGCATGTGCTAGCCCCCCATCCTTAAGAGCTTTCCAAAAGTCACTCCATTAACGTAAACTCAGGTAGGGTTAAAAGGAGCTTGTAATGGATAACAAAAGACACTCTTTTCATCTTTATCACTTCAGAGCTATTTTAAGAACCAGGACACAAAACAAACATTTAAAAAAAGATGCTCCCATCACTTTTATCATTTTGGAAATCAGCAAGGTTTTAGGAGCTCTGGTCAGGAACCTGGATGAAGACCAAAACATAATCACAACAAGGTTCCCTAGTTACCTACAAGATTCCCCAGTTATCTACAAGGCTCTCCGGTTACCTACAAGACTCCCCATGTACCTATAAGGCTCCCCAGTTATCTACAAGCCTCCCAATTTATCTTCAAGATTCCCTAGTTATCTTCAAGGTTCTTTTACCACGCCAGGTTAGTTTTTGGCCACCGCCCAGAAAGCCAAACACAGAGACAATGAGATTGCAGCAGAGAGAGGGTTTTAATCACAAGACAGCAAGTGTAGCTTCAGGGTTTATTTATTTTCTATCTCTTCCACTAGACTGTAACCTCTGTGAGGGCAAGGGCTTTTCTTTTTCATTTACTCTTATATCCTCAGTTCTTAGAGCAGTGCCTGGTACATATTAGGCATTTTATAAATAGTTGGAATGAATGAAAGGTTGAATGAGCACCCTGAGAAGAAAATGCTGACCTCCTACCGAAGTTAAAGGCTGACCTGTGAACATCCGTGAGGTGTTCCAGTCCTGGCTCCACCCCTGATAGGATGTATTATCTTGAGCAAGTCATTTAAAGTTTATGAGTTTCCTCTCTCCTCATGGGTTTTTTTTTC